CGATAGGATGGAACCCCAAAACAGAATGTTGCCTAATGAGGTTTCACCAGTATCTCACGTGTAAGTTGCTTGTCATAAATTTACACAGAGCACATTTAAGAGCGGCCTTTATACTAGAGCTTTATTCATCCCCACAGACTGACGTTTACAAACATCGACCATCGCGATTGATTAAACCCACACAGAGGAAACTGTCTGCTGAATAAGCCAGTTATGACCAGCTCTCACAAATGAAAACATGGTACGATAAGCATTCAATTTGTCCTATTTGGCCCAGTGTATAAAGGATAAAATTTACCGACGTAAGGTAGACTTACGGTTCACACAGACCGCTCTTGGAGAGTGCACAATATGGCGTCTCAAAATTTGGTCTTTGTTGGCGATGATGACGCAGTTGATAGGCTTGTGCTACCCGTGGTCATGAGTAGAATGGTTAATTTAACTTGAACAACCCGAAGGGTTGCGACGTGGTTGCAGACCATTTTGTGTCCCGAGTGTGCTACTGCCATAAGGCTGATATAACTAAGTTTTGACATGTTATACCGCACCAGTACGTCAATGGTGAAATCTTTTTGCGGCTTGTGATTAGTCAGTTTGCAGTATGAGATTTATGGTTGGTGAGAGTTGTGGAGGGTGAGCGTGGACCTCAAAACAGGATGCCGGTAATATTGTAAACCAAAACCGTGATGCACTGTCCTTAACACATCAGTCTATTCTTTTGACATAGACGAACAAACTACTTTCCTAGGTACCAAACAATGTGGCTAACGTTACAATATGACCACTCTCAAAATGCATGGTAAACTGGGCGCCTTACGAAAAGCATATGCATTAATGATATGCACGAATTTGATACACGCATACAGCTCAAAAGCGAGCAAAAATTTCATCAAGTTGTTAGTGCACTGTAGTCTTTGAAAATCTCGAAAACCCAGATACTTGATCTCAGCAAATTTAGTTCTGCCAAATAAAATGAATGGTGTTGGTCCTGACTCTGACAAAACAATCTACTACAGAACGGTGCACTCGTTAACTTGTCACAAAGACAGACTGAATAATAGCTGGATACAAACTGTACATTTTCGATCTTCTGTAAATGCAAAATTTGCGCTGTCGGAATACTTACAAATGATGGCACAGAATACAATCAATTAGTGGAGAAAAACATAACCTTAACTACAGATGCATGCTAGCGAATCGTTCCTAGTGGTTAATAAAGAGACTAGATATACTGTAACTTTAAAATAAAAAATGAAAGTTATCTATGGATGATAGAAAAAACACAAATGGTCCGCTATTTTATCGGGAGTGTTCTTTCAGAAACAATGGTACTGACTACGGACCTTTTTCAGTTTAGCTCCCCCTACTGACTTCCTTTCTGGTACTTGTTCGGGTACACTATTTGTTTCTCCTTCCTGATATCTAAGGTTAGTCCTTGCAAGCACGGAGTCACCCTGTAGATGGCTTTATTTTTACAAACATCGTGGATTTTTTCAGATAATATAGAAATACACCCTAACCCTACACCGATGAGTTTTCAACAATAGTTACCGATACAAACGTGATCTCGTTTTTCGAAGCATCTTTCATTTCTATGGCATGATTTACGAACGAAGACCTATTCTCCATATTGTTTTTGATACATACAAGAATATAAAGGAACCATAAAATGTACGGACCATTCTTTGGTAAGGAGTAGCATTCTGTTGAGCGATAAATATTGCCTAATCGCGAGAGACGTACAAGCTGATTTAACCAGTGGCAATTCATAAAAATAGTTCGATCCACAAAGCGTTTGTTAACTATCTTTTTCAAGGCCTTGGATCGTACTTTCAGTTGCCTATTCCACACGAAGTGATCAAATATATTTATGGTTCTTGTATTTTACAAAGGGTGCGGATTATTTCTACAAGTACTAATGCACGCTTTTTGTTGATCCTTTTTAGAAGTACTTTATTCGTGGTTTTCTAAAGCAGCAAATTTATCTATTCAAACAGACAAACGATACACATCTATTAGTCCTTGAAACCCCTACACTCAAAAAATAATAATGTTTTTTCGCTAAGTTGGAACGCATAATATTCGAAACTGAACTGTATATTTCAGGCTTTTTCAAGGTGTCTGCAGAATTACTTCAAAAAGCTGTTGTTGACTTCAACAGTACTGTATGTTCCATCGTCAAAATTCTAATTCATTTTAAAAAAATATTATCTTATACAAAAACTCACCTTGTTTCTCTATGATAAAAATCCTAGCTCAGACAGATCAGAACGTTATTAGTTTGGCTGTGGCTATGCACCCTGTTTAACCGATCCTCATCCGACATTTGTTCCCTTTATTTGTGCAAAATGCTTGCGGGAAAATCGCCCACTAACGCCCAATGGAATCGCTCCGTCAACCTATCCAATCAGCTTAGATTTTCTATTGATGAAGAGTCTATTAGGGCAAGCCATGGAAAGGATACTGTAAACCGAGATAGTGCTCACTGATCAACTAAGACAAACGCTAACGCGGTCCCAAATTCATGAGTCAGGACTACATAACAAAATGTTTTTCTGCTCACGTATTCTCGCAAACATTATTAAATACAACGCACGTTATTAGTCAAAATTTAGTCTACCATGTTTGTTGAAACCCAACAATTTATAGCTGGAATACCTGGTAATATTAGTCGTGGCTGCAAACAGTTAAAAACGGCTCCATACAATTCGACAAAATTTTAGGAAAATCATGAGCACAAATTTCTTTCGGTCTAAAATTCGGACAAAACACGTCTTCCAAATATTCGTTTGCAAACTATGTTGCATGACACCCACGATAGTATTTCTGCGCCTTCGTTACTCAGATTGGTACCCGAAATGAAGATTTTGAAAATTTGGCACTGTCATTTGTGCATTAACCGAGAGACGCAGTTTAAAAAAATGTTGTTTCGCATTCCCTGGGATATTTGATGAGAAAACAAGGTTTGTCCACAGGTATTAGGAGCGCACCAAATTTCTCCATGGATAATTCAAGTGCCTGTAATATAATTTACTACTGGGAATGTATAATTAGGACAAACTGGGGAAAAAATATATGAGATCAATTTTGGCAGCTGTGATAGGGCCAAGTAGCGCGTTTGAGACGGTACCCAGGTTCATCTAGTCAAAAAAACGGTATCATTCAGACTAGGAATGGCTACTCCCTGTCACACAAATAAGGTTTTTAAAATAAATTCTACATGAATATATACAACTTAATGCAATAAAATTAATTCTTAATTCCTCGATGCGTAAAATCCCCCGTTCTGCAGCATACTGTTCTAGTACGAATACCTCGATCGAAAACTGAATCCTTATTACGTGTACTCAAGTGATACAAGTCGAAGGATCTAACGCGAGAAAGAATGCTTGCTTCTTTCGGTGACAACTTTGCATCACACTTAACCTTTACATCCATATCAGTGAAAAATGTTCGGTGACGCCACGTTACACCCCTATTAAAACATGGATTTAACCTTGTGGACTATGGCGGATTGTTCGCTTCTAGGTCACTCTCTTACTGATAGTTTTATGTCTTTATTCTGTGAGTGTTATCCAAAGTTTACCGTAAGTGTTGAAAGTTCGAGCTGTATTCGTGTTATCGGATGTACTTGATCATGAAGGCACTCCAACCCGGGCGTGTTAAGATTACTTCATTTAAAGCAACATATCCGAAAGTCACCCTTCTTGCTTTTGTTTGACGGCCTACCACTGTCCTGCATAATATCAACCGACTTATTGTTTGAGTTACTTGCGCAGCTACTAAGGCATGATTTTGGGTGGCTTTTTCCCTATCCGGGGGAGGAACGTGTTCGCATAAGGAATAGTTTTCTTCCTTCACATAATCGTAAATACCTGAATCCTTCATGCACGCGCACAAGGACAATATACCTAGATGTGCTCGAAACCTTTAGACAGAACCACTCACCGACTCCAGCTTTAATGCCGTTCACTTCAAATCATTTACCATTAAGTATCATCAACTAGGGTACTCTTTATTCATTAAAACCATAGTTCACTAACCTTGTTCTCGAAACACTTTTCATATGATGGAAGATCAACTGATCATAACTACCTGGTCAACGACCAGTTTTTGTTATCCTCACGGTAGTTGCCGTGAGTGTGTTTTTAATCACTAACATTAGCAGGGTCAACTACATCACGATAGGTATTTCGGTATCACTCGGGAACATACTTATGCCGAAGGCCTACCTTTTGTGTTTACTTCACTTCCACCAGAGAGGGCATCCGTGCTAAAAACGTCTCAGTGGACGCCATCACTGTGTTGTTGCTGAGTGTGCTCAACCCTAAATAATGACCGTCATAGCATACTGAAAGTCTACCGTTCTGTTCAATAGGAAACGTTTGTTTTGTTGACTCAACACACCTGTAGTTTTTTCGGCTGATAGTAAGCATCAAAATCTTGATCAAAATCTACAATTTTACGAGTGAGGAAAGACTTATATGACCTTTAGATTTCCGTTTCTGAAGGTATGTAAATTTGTTTCTTACGTTGACATCTTCACCGTGCTTATTGACTTAACTGTCATTGGCCTAATACTGATGTATCATTAATATATTTTTGATGCAATTATTACCTAAGCAAGTATGGAGTGGCTCTGAACAAACTACAGCGTGGCGGTAATTCTGCCCTAATGCACCTGGTGGAAGCAACTCTCTGTCCTGCTTTCTACGTAATACAGATGTGATGATCGTTGAAGCCTATGCCGGAAAGTAGATGCGACTTATCATTCAGAGGTGCAGGAAGCTCCGGTTTCACGCCGGATTGCACTAGTGTTCATATAAGCTCATATAGCTCCATTTGGATGAAACATGGCTGCACAAAAGCTAAACTCGTATTCCCATTTGATTGCCACTCTGTTTACTCTTTTGTTCGTTCAATTTATGTTCCTTTGCAGTGCGAATACTGACAGTTCCCGTCACTAACGGAGCCCCTCCTTAGTTCTTTGCCTAGCACAGAGGTACCCGTGTCTTGCACTACGCCTTAACAGCCGCCTAAATGACATCCAATCAGATCCAAATTGCGCTGAGCAAAATTAATGAATATATGCGCACAAGCATGCAGACACGCCACACTTGGTTAAATTACTTGATGTGAGCGTTATTTATTCAAGATGTTATTCCCTGTGCTCCCCTCTCTCCTTTCAACCTTTAGTAAGCACTGAGAGGCATCTATATGACGGCAGCTGTAGCCGGAAGTATCATACCGGTATTACGTATGAAATCAAACGTTTTGTTCCATACCGCCCACTCTGTGGCAATAAACTTTAAAAGTACGGAGGTATTCAGGAATTTATCAGATCTTTATGTAGGCAGACACACCCAATTTGGTGCAATGCACGCTGTTATCTCGAGGTAAAAATTGCTTTTAAGCAGATTTGTTAGCGGCAAACCAAACGAAAAAGAGTTGTGACTCTACCTACCTCAGCTACACTGACAAAAACTTCATTGTTTTCCTTCATCTCTTTACGTCCTTACATACCTCACGCACATGCTATCCATCTACCTTCAGTTACCATGGTAACAACATAAGGTTTCCAACGAGGATCCTTAGTAAAAGCACCTCAAACCTGGCCACACTGCGAGAGCCATTTTTATCAACAAATGGACTGCGCGGCTACACGAGTCTGACGAATATCCCGTTGCTTTTCTTCAGAATCACTGTGATGAGCATAGCTTAATACTTAACCACTATAAACACTAGGCTTAAGTTGCTGCATGGCAATGAATTGAACCGGAAATGAGTGTACATCAACTACGGGTCAACTCCAGGCCACCCTTTTCCTCATTTGAGTGACCATCCCAGGAAAACCAATACCCCATGGTTCTCTGCTTCCAGTTGTGTTAAATTTATTGTTTAAAAAATGAATGTCAGTGTCCTTGCATTTTGCTTCGATTTGTAACCTCGTACCTTCGTGATCGATGAAATAATGAGACGAACGTTGGAGGGTCTCCAAAACCCCGGTGTTCAAATAGCCTGCGAAGAAAACCTTGTCGATCTGGAATATGCAGACGACATCGTTCTCATTTTCGAAGAGGAGGAGAAGGCGCAAGTATTCTCGGACGAACTGACCAAAGTCATCCCGTCCTTTGGTATGCACTTTGCACCCACAAAGTGTAAGGCCATGCTTGTGGACGTGCAGTCACTGAACACGCCACTTACGATCCAGGGAAAGGCACTGGAAGTTGTGGAGCGTTTTACATATATTGGAAGTTGTATTAGTTCTGACTGTAGTGTG